CTGCTGAGGTTATGAAACAACCACGGTTATTAGAAAACAGAACTGGCTTTCTACTCAGTAAATTGTATGAAAACATCTGCCCCAATTGGCACACACTTGTAAATCCAGCCATTTAGGAGGCTGAGGCAGGAGGACTTCAATCTGAGTACAGCCCTGGGTAACTTAATGACTTTGCAAGACTCTGTCTCAGAAAAGAGCATTGGGGAGAATGTGAATGTATCTCAGTGCAGAAGCACTGCTTCAGTGCTCAGTGTAAAAAACAATGAAACACAGTTATACCGATGTATAGAATAATAATAATAGAAATCTTATGAGCCCCAAATTCCACTCCTGAACTTATACCCAAGTGATGTAGAGGCCCTGCCAACCGAAAGACAAACACACACAGTCAATTAACCTTGGTATTATTTGCATTAACATAGAACTGAAGGAGCTCAAATATTCTCAACTTCAGACTGTGGTTCTGGAACATCTATGTAGCTATAGGAGCTCGGGGTGTGAACCAGGATGTGCTGGTGGAGAGGTGATGCTTCCTCTTTGCGGGAGCAGCTGTGTTTAAGATGTTAAAGTGATTTAATTTCTTGATACAGTCTGTAGCACAGATGAGCCTTGAAGATATTAAATAAACGAGAAACAGTTGTACACCAAAAGCAGTGTGTTTTATGAGATTCACTTATAAGAGCATCTGGAACAGGGAACTCTCCAGCACTCCTAAACAGAAGATGGGCTGCTAGGCGCTGGGGAGAAGGGAGAAAAGGAATTCACTGTGTGCAGGTGAAGGTTACTTTTCCTGTTGGTAAACGTAATCTAGGGGGCAGAGAGTGATTTAGTTACACATTAGTGGAAGTTTTATATCAGGTGAACATTACTTTCGTTGTAAAAACAAAGGAAAGAAAAGAAAGACGCTAAAGGTGGGACCTGACTAAACAAAACGTAACTGCATTTGATTAGCACCTCTAAGAGAGGGACAGAGAAGCAGCTCGGGAGAGAACAAGTTGAGAGAATCAGGTGATGATCAAGGTCACACCACGTCCTGCAGAAACCCATGCAGTAGTAAGAGATTAGCAGAGAGATCTAATTTCAGGAGGAAAATGGCAGGCGGTTCCTGGAAATCCGTTAAGCGGCTTCTCTTGGCTCCAACAGCAACTCCCTCGGGACTCTGTGGGTTCGTTGGTGTGGGCTCATCTCGGAAAATGTAATGAAGTAGAAGAGGGCATCTGAACACGACTGTCTGCAGTCTGACGAAGTAACACTTTCGCCTTGAGGACGAACTTCCCGCCTTCACTAAAACGGCAGGAAAGGGAGATGCAACCCACAAATACAAGAAACAGGAACACACACAGGCACACGCCTGAGGAAAACCTCTCTTCTCGAGTGAGATTTGAAAAGAAACCGTGAACACTAAAGACACCCGGTGATTACATGCAATGATTTCTCTGTTTTCCTCTTCTTGTCACAATCACCATCGAGGTCAATAAGCAGACGGGAACGCCCAGTCCTTGAGGAATTCATAGCCTTGTATCGCATGGAAGGGATGCAAACTTCGCAGGGTGAGAGTGAAGCGAGGCTCAGAGATCACAGCCTGTGCCCCGCACCCCAGGAGCATCGAAAGAGGAGGAAAGGCACGGAGAGAGGGTGTCAGACGGGGCCTGCTCCTGGACGTCCTGATCACCGCGCCCCACCTTCTTCCTTCTGAAAAGACACAGGTCTTTCTGCCTCAGCCTTCTCTGATGCAAATATCTTCTTCCCCTGATCCTTTCCTTTCCTGGGTTTTCATTTGCATGGATCTGATATAAAATCCCTTCCACCCAGGAGCCTCTCTCCTGCACTCTGGACTTAGATGCTTTGCTGTGGCTACATTTGCCTGAGTTCTTTGAATTCATAAAGGATTTGAGGCTTATCATGAATTAAGTCACAAAAGGACTTAGGAAACACCCAATAGATTATAGTGTATTTTTTTTTTTGAGACAGGGTCTCACTATGTAGTTGAGACTGACCTGGAACTCACTATGTAGCCCAGGCTGGTCTCAAACTCACAGCAATCCTCCTGCCTCAGCCTCCCGAGTACTGGGATTACAGGTGTGCGCCACCACGACTGGTTTAATGTAATTGAACTGATGTCAAAATTAAAGAATTATCCATGAAAAACCTAGCAAAATAAGAAAGACTAGAACTTTTTCCTAGAAAGATAACAGCATAATTAAACTCACGACACATAAAGGAAAGACAGGCATGAAGTGACACTCCTAAAATCCAACCTTCTCGAGAGGGTTAAGAAAGAGAATTATAAATTCACTGGCATTCTGGAAACACAGTTAAGACCCTATCTAAAAAAATGATAAAATATTACAGATGAAAGAACTACTTCACACCATTTTCATATGATTAGGTCTTAGCATTAATACTTATTTCATTAAACTAAATTATGTATTCTGCCACATCATTTTAATGCCAATTACTATATGTGGGGCATTCTGTACAATCTTTAAAACCACCTTTTATTTTTAATTTTTTCCAGGGCTTCTTTCACATCCTTATTCCGTAGGCTGTAGATTAGCGGGTTCAGCATGGGAATCACCAGGGTGTAAAACAGTGAGGTCATTTTGTCCTGGTCTAGGGAGTAGGAAGAACTTGGTCTGAAGTATGTGAAAAGCAGAGTTCCTTGGAAAATGGCAACGGCAGTTAAGTGAGAGGTGCAGGTGGAGAAAGCTTTGAACCTCCCCTCGGCAGAGCAGATCTTTAAAATGGATAAGATGATGTAGCAATAGGAGATAAGGACTCCTGAGATGGTGGTCAGTTCAATGAATCCATAAATGATGAATAATACGAGCTGATTGACCTCTATGTCAGAACAGGACAGGAGATAAAGTGGAGGTAAATCACAGAAGAAATGATTGATCTCATTAGACCCGCAGAAACACAGGCGGAAAGCCAGTGTGGTGTGTATCAGAGCGTCTGTCAGCCCCACTAGGTAAACCCCAGCCACCAGCAGGGAGCACAGCCTCCTGGACATGTGGGTTGTGTACAGCAGGGGACTGCTTATGGCCTTGTACCGGTCGAAGGCCATCACCGCCAGCAGCACGCACTCCGAATCTGCAAAGGTGCAGGAGATGAGGAACTGCAGAGCACAGCCCAGAAAAGGGATGGATTTGTCCTTCCTGAACAGGTCCACCAGCATCTTGGGCCCAATTGCCGTTGAGTAGCCGAGGTCACAGAAAGACAGGTGGCTGAGGAAGAAGTACATGGGCGTGTGGAGCTGGGACTCCATTCTGATTAGGAGGATCATTCCCAGATTTCCCAGGAGATCAACAACATAAACGAGGAGAAACACAGTAAATAGAGCCGCTTTCATCTCGGGGTTACCGGTAATTCCCACGAACCTGAATTTAGTCAATGAGCAGTTTTTCTGGTCCATTGTCCCTGTTCTTCTCTGAAGTACTGATAAAATGATAAAACAATTAAAAGTATAGCTGTGTGCTTTAGGTTTTTGAAGATCAATGATGTATTTTAAAATTAGAATACAATTTGTTTAATGCCATTTTAGTTTTGGAAAATTATCTGTTTTCGTTTTGGAAAATTATGCGTGTTATTCTGGAATCTTTTATCTATTTGAAAAAAATAAAATGCAGCTGAGACAGAGAGTTATGATATCCTGAGAAATTAAAATACCGCTTATGAAGTTTGTGCCTTTTTGCAGGCGCTATAATTTCTTTGGACCCTGGTTTTCTTACCTCAGACAATAAAATGGAATAGATTGTAATTCCAGGTGATCCTCAAATTAATGTCTAATATCCAGAGACTTGGAGAGTTAGGGTGTGAGATGTAAGAGCAAGAATTTGCAATGCTTCAAAGTATACAGGTGGATAAAAGTGATGACATTAATCCCCCAAATCCTGAATATTCACAATATTACTTCTATATATACATTACTCCTATGAATAAAGAACGCTTATGCTGCTACTAATGAAATTTGCCACATTACATTTCTTATTGTTTGTTTCTTTAGTATGAGAAGTGGGATGAAATCCAGGGTATGGACTACTGGTTTAAGTGTCTTTCCTGGTTTCCTCACAGTGCACCTTACCTGTGTGCAGCAGTGGTCTGATTCCAAGGGATGAGGACTCTAAAAAACATATATTGAGGAGAAGCAGAGCCAGCAGAATTTGCACATTGCTCTGCGTTTCTTCTATGTAAGACAGGCTGCTATGTTAGGACATGAATTAGCAAAAGGGACCGTAAATACACAGGCTTCCTCGAACATGCATGTGAGCTCCCACAAGTGTCCGACACTTTATGTGTTAGGTCTCTCTGTTGATTAATGAAAGCTGGTATACAGCGATTGACATTTGTGGGGTTATTATAAGATTAAGCAAAGAAGGAATTTATTTTACATAGAGTTAAATCTTCGTACATCATTATTATTGTGTTATAAGCAAAGTATTTTTGACATAAAACAAATTTTAAAATCTATTAAAATCAGGCACGTGTTTGTACAATGATAAAAGGAATCAGGGCCCCTCCCATAAATCCACATGAGAGTAAAAGAATCAACGTATTATGTTATGGATTCTATGAAGTTCAGGCAGATTTTTTACATTCTTGGGGTAAAATATTTTCAGGCACTAGAATTTCCTGGACAGTTTATTAAAAAGGGCATACATAAAATGTTTTATTCCAAAATCTCTCTTTTTTTTTTTTGGAAAAACTAAATTATTTTCCTTTTACTCTGTGCCTTTCTATCTGATTCTGCACCTACCTGAGGTGAGCCAGGTCCTGGGAGCTCAGCATTAAGCCCAGAGCATTTTATTTTGGTCGGTGTCAGTTGGGACTTCCGTTCCTGACGCTATTTCCCCTGGGTTTGGTGTGATTATGTTTGTCATCCTATATTCTCTCCTGTGAATGGCATCAATTTAAGCAAAAAGTAAAGTTTTATTTTTTTTAATTGCAATGAAATTCATCTATTTTGAGAAGAAACTCGCAAAGTGTTTTATTTGTGTGTATATAGTACGTAATATTCAAATAATCCTGTGTTTAATCTTTCCCATCTGTTGCCTATTTTTTCTCTTCCATTTTAAAGTTTCCTTTATTACTTCACTCAGGAATATTATTGTTCTTCAGAGAATTATTTTATTAAAATATTTTGTATTTGACAATGTACTTTTATCAGTGTGTTTTATACCTCATATCTTACTAAATATCATCCTTTTGTTTTTAGCTTGAAAAGTAACCTTTAGCATTTTTTTTCCTTTTTCTTTTTCTGACCCTGGCTGGCTTTGAGCTCACTGTGTTCCTCAGACAGAGCCGCAAACTCATAGCTATCCTCCTGTGTCACCCTCCTAAGTGCGGGGATTACAGGACTGCACCACCACGCTCTGCGCTTTAGCATCCCTGTAAGGCATCCTAGTGGTGATAAACTATTTGGTGTTATTCATCTTAGCAAATATTTGTAAACCTCCATTTTTAAGTGATAAATTTGCTGGCCACCATAGTCTTCTTGATTGGTAAGTGTTTTTCTACGATTTTGAAAGTCACCCAACCCCTTTTGGTCTTCATGGTTCCCGATGAAAAATCTTCTGACGACATTATGATTTTTCATTTTCCATGCTAAGCCCCCAAATTTTTAAAGTTTCTGTTTTAAAATCTTCTCATTCCTAGTTTGGTGTGTCCCCAGGGAGATGTTTTTGAATTCTTTCTAGTCCTGGCCTGTGGTTTGAAATGATTTGTTTTATTTTTTAATATATGCCTGTCCTTTTCTTTGTCTCTTTTTCTTTCGGCTCATGTAGTTATGCCTGCTCTTGTTCTGTGAGTCTCTTAAATCATCCTCTATTTTTTTTTTTTTTTACTTTTTCTTCTCAGATTGTACAGTTTCTGTTTAACTCTCTTTAGGTTCTCAGGTAACTATTTTTGAGTGATCTCATTTTCTATTAAATTCCCCTATTTAATTTTAAGTTCATCAGTAAAAATCACTCTACTCTAATAATTCTATCTGTGATTTTTGTGCCTTTTCTTCGTTGAAATTTCCAGTTTATTTCTGCATTGATCTCTGGAACTCTGAGCATTTTCATGACCATTACTTTGAATTCCAGGACAGATGAATTACATATGTCACTCCATATTGTCAGTTTCTGGAGATTAATCTTTTCATTAACATTTGAAATCAATGTGCCTATTTTCCCTTTCCTTGATTCTTTTGTTGGTTCTCTGCATTGGATAAATCAGCGGTCTCTCTCAGCTGCTGATCCTGATCCTCCCCTCGGCAGAGCGGATCTTTAAGACGGATAAGATGATGTAGCAATAGGAGATGAGGACTCCTGAGATGGTGCTCAGTTCAATGAACCCAAAAATATAAATATCACCCATTCATTGACCTGCGTCTCCGAGCAAGACAGCAAAAGGAGAGCAGGGGCATCACAGAAGAAATGATTCATCTCATTAGACCCACAGAAACACAGGCTGAAGGCGAGTACTGTGTTTATCAAAGCATCTGCCAGTGCCACCAGGTAAATCCAAGACTGGAACCGTGAACACACCTTGCTGGACATGTGGGCCGTGTACAGCAGGGGGCTGCTGATGACCTTGTACCGGTCGAAGGCCATCACTGCCAGCAGCATGCACTCTGAGTCCACAAACATGATTAAGGTGAAGAACTGCAGAGCACAGCCAACAAAGGAAATGGATTTGTTGTTGGCGAGCAGGTCCACCTGCATCTTGGGGCCAACTGCAGTGGAGCAGCAGAGGTCAGAGAAAGAGAGGTTGCTGAGGAAAAAGTACATGGGCGTGTGAAGGCTGGAATCCATTCTAATTAATATGATCACCCCAGTGTTCCCCAGGAAATTAATGAGGTAAACAAATAGAAACACGGTAAAAAGGGTCACTTTGATATCAGCGTTATTAGTGATTCCCAGGAAAATGAATTCTCTCAAGGAGGAGCAATTTCCTCTGTCCATTCCCTTTTTTATACTCTTGAAACCTAGAAAAAATTGTTAAGATAGACACATGTTTAATTTTTCTGCACATCCCCAAATCATCTCCAGGGTAGATCACTTTCTTCACCTTTAATTTTGTTTCTTAACTACAGAAAATTATCCAGTCATGCGTCATTTTTTCAAAAGCATTCCATTTATTGGCAATACTTTAAAATCCTTAGACATCAATCAAAAAACTTTCAGTTGGAATCTAGACTCCATTCATAAGGGATATCACTTTACACATGTTCTTTAATGCCTCTGTACCTTCAGGAAGTCTAGTTTTAATGGGCCAAAGTCTCAATGCATTTTCAAATTCATGTGGAAGAAACATCATTCTCAGGATTAATAAGCAGCAAGATGCAGGACTAAGCAGTTAGTATTTTTGGAAACACTAACATTGACACAAAATAATGCCAATTACTATGTTTCTCAAAGATCGCAATTGACTCACAAAACATTGTAGTAGTTCTGGGACAACTATGTCATAGAATAATACAAAGCGAATTATATTCTACAGTTTCTAATCAGTATATTCTTTGACTTTGATAAGACACGAGACAAATTGTGCATATTATTGACTTTTTGCCTGAGATTCATATTATCATTTTGCCCCAAGGTCCTATTCCCAGGGGCAGTCTGCAGCATGGTCCTGACAATTAAAAGAGAAATGCTTAAGAAGAAATTTAAGCATAATACTATAGATATGAATTTACATCATACCTGACTTTAAATGGACTTTTATTTGAAAAAGTGAAAAAGCTATGAGGGACGATAGACAGTTTTGTGGTGTTTAGTCCTCACTCTCTTCGGTATATGTGTATGATTTCCTGCATTTGTTCATATGAATCTCTACTGATGTGAGAATTAGAATACAGGAAATGATTGGTTGCTTTTTATTGGTGCCTTTTTTATGTGTTTATTTGTTATTTTTTGCCTAGAAAATTATAGTATGTGCTCCATATGGAGTTAAGTTTTACATATTGTTATGTGCAACTATCATTTCAGTTTTTTAAATTAGTTAACACAAAGAAAAAATAACATCGAAGGAATGAGTGTACTTACAGGATGATGAGTAAACACTTGTTTATGAGCATAGATTGAAATACAATAATTAAAACACTGCTTGGTGGAATATAATTTCAGCTGGCGTTTTCCAATTCTGAGCATAAATTGTTGTTTTAGATCATAGGATTTCAAAATTTAACTTAGTTGGCATAAAATTATTCATTTATAAATCTTTTTCCATATGATAAGTTTAACCTTACATTTAAAATTTTGATAATTCAAGAACTTACCTGAAATGAGCAGGTTTTTTTGGTATTAGAAAATCAAGTACAGAGCACATTATTATATCAGGTGTATTTGGGACTGAAGCTCTCTAAAGCTGTTTCCCTCAGGCTTTGGTGTTTTGCAACGATGTCAGTAATTATATCTAAGGTTCTATATTTTCCCTTGTGAATAC